ATGAATGAATGCCTGTGCTAAGCGCCCTTTCTCCTTTTGATACAGTCTAGGACCCAAATCCAAAGAATGGTGCCTCCCTCCTTTAGGATGGCTCTTACTACCTCAATTAAACTAATAGGTAATCTCTCACAGGCATGCCCCAAAGCTAACCTAATCTAAAATTTTATTGCACATATTTATTTGTGTGTATATGTTGGGGGGGTGCCTATGCACAGTGCACATGTGAAAGTCAGAGGACAACTTTGAGGAGTCAGTTCTCCCCTTCTACCATGTGAGTTCCAGGAATTGAACTCAGGTCATCAGGCTAGGCAGCAGGAGCCTTTGCCCTCTGCTGAGCCACCTCACCAGTCCCTAACCTAATTTCAAAAATCCCTCACAGGTATGCCTGGAGGCTTGTCTTCTGGATGATTCCAAATCCTGTCAGATTGACCATCAGCACTAGCCATCACAAGAACCAAGGATGAATCCAGAATTTTTAGATTTATAACTGGTCTATCCTTACTCCCCTATAATTCTCAAGACAACAGCTAGAAAGAGTATCTTCAAGTGTAAGATCTTGCCACTCCTGCATAAAATCCTGCTCTGATTCTTCAAGACACTGGAGGAAAAACTGACATCTTACAGTGACCAACAAGACCCTACCTAGGCTGAACCCATGTTGTATAACTCCAAATTTAAACATTCCCTCCTAGAGGGAGAAGGGAGACTCACAAGACTCAATAAGCCCAAGAAACTTGTAGGAATCACAAGGCTCTTCTCTAAGGTGGTACAAGCAGTAAACAGTTGCTGAGGAACAAGAGCCTCTTTGATGGGACTGTCAACAAGCTGGCTTGGGAATCCCACGGTGCAGCTCTGTGTATGCTGGGGAGGGCTTTTTAGTGATGCAGCTGCCCCAAGTCACCCAGGATCCTATAAATAACCCCAATAAAATCACTGCCTCACTTGCTAGCCTTGGATGAAATAGTTTCTTTGGACTGTTGGTGCCCTATCTATGGTGAGTAGATGTTGGTTCACATCTCGCCAAGAAAGGGCATTCATCAGTGACTTTTCCATTTACTTCTCTGACTGTACTTTCTAATTCTCTTCCTGCTCCAGACTCACAGGCTTCCTTGATGCTCCTCAAAAAAAGTCAGGGCTGGAGAGTTGGCTCATTGGTTCGAAGCACTGGCTACTCTTGAAAAGGAACCAGATTCATTCCCCAGAACCCACATAACAGCTAACAACATTCTGTAATTCCAGTTCCAGGGGATTTGACATCCTCTTCTGGTCTCTGCAGACATTACATGCAGGTAATCACACACATGCAGGCAAAATATGCATACGCATGAAATCTTTTAAAAATACATTTTAGAAAAGCAAGTTGGCTTCTTGCTTGGAACCTCTTAACCTTTGTTTCCTCTGCCTGCAACACTTTCACTTTTGAGTATCCACATGACCAACCTTCTCACTCCTGGCAAGCCTTCACTCAAATGTTCTCAATGGAGCTCACCCTGATTTCTCTTTTTAAAACTGTCATGGGAGCTGGAAAGATGGTTCAGTGGTTAAGAGCACTGGCTGCTCTTGCAGAGGACCCTGGTTCGATTGCCAACATCCACATGGAGGTTAACAACCACCTGTAACTCCAGTTCCGGGGAATCCAACACCCTCTTCTAACTTCCTCAGGCATTACACGACACAGGTGTACTTACATACATGCAGGCAATACACTCATATACTTAAAATAAAAATAATAAATAGAATATTTTAAAACACTGTCACAGCATATGCCCTGTTCCTGATCCGTTTTGGTCAGCTCCACTGGTCCTTTTCCATAGCATCCGTTAGCTTCTAGTAGATTGTCTAATTTACTTACATACTCCTCATCTCCCTCCTCTAGAACACAGGCCCACAGGGATAGGACATTGATTTAATGTATTCACAAATGTATTCCAACCACCTAGAATAATTCTTGGCCTTAGCAGGGTGCCCAGTATTTATACTGGATAACACATAGTCAGTTACATTGACTACGAGCTGATACAAGTGACAAAACTGGCCACTCTAGGAAGCCTTCAGGCTGATGCAGACGGTGAACCACAGGTTCTGGCCAGCAGAGAGGGTATTTACCTAGAAGGTAATTGAGGTGGGTATCCCTCCCAACCACCTTCCTAAAAATCCTATTCGTAGCTTCTGATTTTTGGTAGACTTCATATCAAAATTGTTCAGCACTCTCTTAGCTTCCCTAGTTGTCAACTATAGTCTTCACCTGTTGGCCCATTCTTTTATCTGTTCTCTTCAGCTCTTCCCCGGCTGCAGGGCTGTAGAAATCACTTTGAATTAGATCTGCTGAGTATTAAAGCTGAAAGAAACCAAAGAAGACATCACTCCTGATTCCAGTTGGAATTAAAAGTATACTTTAAGGAACTTCTTCACCTCTGATATAGTCACTGAGAAAATGTATTACTAATATAAGCTCTTACCTTACCCTTCCCTTCCCCTATTCCAAGCACAAAAATGGCTGTGTAAAGGTGCAGACTTAGAGAAAAGATTCAGAAGCAGGTTAGTGGAGTACATTACTGAACACTGTACCTCACAGGAGTATACCAGCATCCTTCTCTGGGACCTATTCAAAGCATTACTGTCATCCCTTGGGGCCTAAGCCGCAATCCGAGAGCCATGGATTAAAATAAAATCACTATGCCGAGGGAAAGGAGTAGAATCATTCTAAGTGGTCTCTGTTCTCTGCACCCTCCTTTCCCAAGTCAGCAGCCAAAAGTCCCCTCAATATGAGACATCAGTTTCTCCTATAGCAAAAAGGTGACAAAATGAATGGCCCAGCCTATTCTCTGTAGGAGCTTGCTTTCCTTGGGATGAACTGCTGAAAACACAGAAAGAAAAAGAAAAAGAAGAGACCTGGCTTCCCCTAATACATATCCTTGATCAGTCTTTAGCAAAGGAGTCTTTTCATTAATTTACTAAGTGGCCCCAGATGACCGATGCCCTTCAAAGCAAAGTTGGGCATTTGCCTCCAGTTCCAAAGTCCTTCAGAACACATGCCCCACCCCCAGCTGTTGTCATCCATCAGCAATTAGAGAGGCAGCATGCTAAGTCCTCAGTTACATCAAGGGCTGAAATTGTGGGTGGTGGCATGGGATTAAAGAACTTCCCTATATCTCAGGACCCCTAAAAATGTCTTATCTGTCGCTCGAGATCAGCATGCTTGAGGGGGGTTCTCTCCAGAGGGAGAAGGTCTCAGCAGCCACTTCCTGCTTCCACACCCATACCCTGGCACCCACATAGAAAACAAGGCTCATGGGACTTTCCTTCCTGTGTGCATGTTTCTATATAAGACAGAGCCTACACAAATTATGAGGCAGCTCTGGGGCACAGCTCAGACCCAGACATTGCCAGGCAAATAAAAAACAGCATGAGTGTAGCACCCAGCGCTCCTGCCTCTGCTCCCCTTTACTGGCCCTTCTTCACCCCCAAGTGGTTTTGCACTAAGCCTAGAAATCACTGCCTCCCACATCAAGCCATTCTTGCTAATTCCTAGGACAACCCTTACCCAATTCCAGAGAGGCTTGCGGAAAGCTGCCTGCCTCCTAATCTTTCTGCCACATGAGGAGCTAAGCTGGTTACTAAGCTCCAGATAGGGAGTCCTAATGTTTGTCCCCTGAGCCAGCCTCATCCCTCCACCTAATTCTCTAAAGGGAAGGTGCTCAGGCCCAGATTCCTCAACAAACATGGAAGTGTCTAGGGGGAGATAGAAGAGCTCCTTCCTTCCCTCACAATGCAGGTTGAGCAAAGTCCTGTGATTTCAGGACACTAGCCAGGAATTCCTAGGGAGAAAGAACATGTTACCTCATTCCCATTCCTCTGGGGGAAAACACAAGTTAACTTCCAACCCCAGAGTCAGTCTCCAGTTTCCACAAACCCAAGAACAACACACGATGGGTCAAGAGGATCTCTCTTTCGTTCTCTCCCAAACCCCCTCCCACCTCCACCCTATGCCCCTCACTTCAAAACCAATAGGATACTTGAACTTGATGGGTTTGGAGGCATCTGCTGCTCCCCTGCAAATGGGTAGGTGTGTATTAGAGTGTCTTTCTCTCAACATTGTCCCTGGTGCCCTACCTCTGCATTCTGTATTCCTCCAGCCCAGGACACAGCCTCACCACAAAACCAGACCCATAATCTCCAATCCCTGTAGGCTTTCCCCATCAACAAAATACCTTCTTAAAACACAGGTCAGCCCAAGCCCCTTCAATATCTGAGGACTCTGTTCAAGACTTCCCACAGCAATGTGTAGATTCCCTAAAAGTGGATTCATGCCAACAGTTACCACCAGCAGAGTTACCTGGGGATGGAGGGGTGGGGGATAGGAAGGGCTGGAATAAAAGGAAGCTAATAATGACTTAGTAAAGAGGCAGAGTTAATGCTTTCCCCTGCATGCACACAGAGCAGGAGAATTTTAAAGGGAAAGCCACGAGGGTCAAAGCTTATAATACCAGCAAGAGTTAAGAAACAGATGACATTGGAAACGTCATGGTGCCAGCTGAGTTGGGGGCTTAGACTGAGGAAGCTCAAGAGTTCAGAAGAGTTTGGTATCAGCAGTATTGTCACTATAGCAACTATTTATTAAGCACCTCACATATGACATTGCCAGTCCTTACAAACACTTGGAAAGATGGGTATTACTATCTTGATTTCCAGGAGCTGCAATTGGGATTCTGGGAGTTTCAGACACTTTGCCAAGATTACACAAACAGTAAGCAATGGAGCCAGAATCCAAGCTCTGATCCATCTGGATCCAGGCCTGGACTCAGCCACAACATAGCAAGGGCTCTAAGACACTCAGGCTTCCCTGGGTCTCAGTCTCCTGCAAAGTGACCTTAGTGACTTCTCAAGCTCCTTTAACTCCAGCATTCTATGCTTCTACGGGGCTTCCCAGGGGCCAGGAAGTGTAGCAGACAGAAGCATTCTCCTTCCAGAGATAACTGGGGTGGCACAGTGACTCTCACCTCCTCCATTCTTGTAGCAGAGATAAGGAAACCTCCAGACGTTGCCTAAGCCAACGATCTCTCCTGCCACTGACAGCACAAACTCCATCTTGTTGCTCCAGTGCCCCCGCTCCAGGGTGCCGTCTTCCTCCACCTTTTCCGTGACTGGACACACTGGTTTTGTCTCTCCATTACTGGTTGTACCTAAGACCCTGCTATCCATCCCACCTGGAAAACAAGTGGGGTGCTCTGTTACTGTTGGGAAATCCCAAATGGAATGCCCCCTCCCTTCAGAAAACTCCCAAGAGAATACACGTCCTGGAAAAGGGTGACTTCCTCTCTGTCTGCAGACCCACATCCCCCTTAGCATCTCTCAGTAAAGCTGGGGACAGCTCCTGAGACTGCGTGCTCCTCTTTCAATCAGAAAGAAATCATCGACACTGACAGACTTTGCCTCCAAGACCCATGTTCTCTTGAGTTTGCATAGCCTATGGGTTGTCTGTGCTTTCCCTGCCTCTCCACAACCAGCTGTGATGTATTAACAAATTTTTTTATGTGCCGGGACCATTGAGAGGACAGCAGCTGACAAATTCTCAAAGCACTGATTTCCCCTGCAGGAACTTCCCTAAAGAAACAGCCATGATCATGGGTATAAGATCTGGCACTGAGGATGTTCATTGTTTATAACAGCAAAAAATTAGAAAAAGATCAGGAGGTCACAAGATCTATATCTGAGTGTGGACTTTACCATGCAGCTGTAAATGTGGGGGGCAACTCTTCTGTAAATAAACCCCTACCCTATGCTCTGCTATAATAATAATAATAATAATAATAATAATAATAATATAAATAAAATACTTTTAATTAGAAAAAGAATATGTTTAAAAATGGGAGGGCACTGGAAAGATGGTTCAGTGGTTAAGAGCTCTAGTTGCTCTTGCAGAGGCCCTGGGTTCAGTTCCCGACACCCACATGGTTGGCTGACAATCATCCCTAACTCCAGTTCCAGGGGATCCAATGCCCTCCTCTGACCTCTGTGGGCACTGCACAACATGGGTACACTTACGTGCATGCAGGCAATACACTCATACTCTTAAAATAAAAATAATAAATAAAATTTTTTTCACTTTTTTTGAGCTTTTTAAATTTCATACATTTCCCACTCAAATCCAAACCCTCTCCCCCATCCATGCCTCCTCCTATGTCCCCACCAAACCCTATGCACTCTGCCATACATGCTGAGTCCTATTCATTCAGGTGTTTGTACCCAAATGCTGTTCAGTGTAAATGTGTCCACTGGAGTCTAGTCAGCCCATCCAGTGGTTGTATGTAAGTCATACTTTCCCTCACCCAACAGCAATTAGTCTCAAATAGTTCTCAATCTAGTGCTGGCCCCTATTTCTCACCTCCCCTTTGGGCCTTTGTTTAACTGAGCTGGGATGGGTCCCATGCTCAATGCCACAGCTGCCACAGCCTCACATGAGCAAGCCTCCAGTGGCCTGGAGGCCTCCACTTCCCTGTGTTCATGAACCAGCCATGGCTCTTACAGTCTTTCCGCCTCCTCTTCCACAATGGTCCCTGAGCGGTGGATGGGTGAGTTTCCATATAGGAGTCCCATCCTACATTCTACAGTCTCTTATTCTCTAAAACTTGGCCAGTTGTGGCCTTCTGTGTGCATCACACTCTGATGTACATGGAAGCCTCACTGGTGAGAATTGAGAGGTTTATTAGCCCTCTACCTATTATTCCACTATGTTCTATGAGCGTTAGGTAGAAAAAGTAGGGGTAATCGGCAGGGAGGAGAGGAGGGAGGGACATGCGAGGGACCATGGTGGGGGGGTGGACATCAGGAAAGATGGTGGAGGTCAGGAGGTATTTGGGGGAGGGTGGGGATAATGGGGGCACTGTGATAAGGGAAGGAGGGAGGAGGGTAGCCAGATAGGAGAGAAAAGAGTGAAGACGAATGGATCTCGGGGGTCTGGGAAACCCAGAGGGAAAAGTGATGCTTTAGAAACCCTATGAGAAACGCACATAGAGTGTCTGAATATTAATGCATGTGTATACCTGGGAGCTGCATGCCAGGGAATGCAGTGCTAGACAGAAGAGACCTCCCTTAGAGTGACAAGCATGTCATACAGCACTCATCAAAGAAGCTTCTTTATGCAACAGATGGAGGCTACTGCAGAATTGCACATCTGGTCAGGCACAGAGAACATATGCCTGGGAGTGCCCAGTACTAGGTGACACATCTGCTGTTCAATCTCTACAACTAAGGCTCATAAAATATTTTTTTAATGGGAGGTATGTTAATAAGCTATAGCAGATAAACAATGAACTTCTCCAGAACCATTAAAAATTATGTGACAGAAAGAAGTACATTGAAACAAAAGGGTGTTCGTGAAAACAGAAAGTAAAAACACGAACCCATCAGGCTTGACAAATATTTCACAAAGTCTTTACATGCATTGAAAGATTAGGACTTACACCAAGGTATTTCTTCTTAATGGCTGCATTACAGGAATATATTCCTTACCTATGTTTACTTGGAAGAACATGTTTTATGAGGGAGGCTGATACAACCAGTGACTGGACAAGGCGAAATGACTGCTCCAAGCATTAATTTCTCACTCCTCCATTTGTTATAGAAATCAACATAAGAAAAAGACTCCTCTCTCTCGCTCTCCCTCCCTCCCTCCCTCTCTCTCTCCCTCCCTTCCCCCCTCTCCTCCCCTCTCCCTTTGGTGATGACAAGCATAGCAATCTGCTACGAAGAGATGATGACATGAAATCAAGAATGCCTTAGTTCTCAACTTCCCACCTCCAGAAATGCTCTATTCTAGATAGCTACTGAGACCAAGGAAAAATTCCAGTGGGGTTCAAATTTAGTGAGCAAATACTATGGACTTAGCATTTTACACACATTCATTTTGTTTAATTCTTACTCCAACCCTATTGCTGTTGAAAAATGAATGTACATAAAGTACCTGAAGCCGCCATTCAGGGTAAATAAAGTCACTGTTGCCACATATGTAGTAAACGGCCATGCACAGTGAGACTTGAACCCAGCATGCTGCTGTCAAAAGGGCATGGGCCATGGAGTCAGGCAAGCCTGATTCTGACCTTAGTTGTTTCTAGCGCTACTGCCTGACCTTGCTTCCTGTTCTTCAGATTTACATCAAGTTAGTCACATCACTGCCTTTATTTCTCACCAGGCAACTGTCTTCCACCAACTCCCCCTGTTTTATACAGTGGCCCCCTTTTCTTTTGGGTTTAGTTTTTATATTATTTTATTTATTTATT